CTCAGCATGGTTCCAGGTCTAACAGCCCTGTTTATCCATGAAGTGATTTGTTAATCATGTACACTGTCGTCATAGTAACTTTAGGATTTATTGGCAAATATCAGTAGAATATCACAATATTTAGCTCTAAAACCAAGTTTTCGTGAGCTTTGTGAGAACAGGTTTTGAGACCATGTTATTGCTTCATGGAGAGCAGCTTTGGCATGAGCTCACCCTTCTATTAGACGACAGAGAACCCACACCGGCACTTCCCTAGGGGCTGAAGTCCGCAGGAATTCAGGTTCTGCTTGTTAAAAGTTAGCATGCCTGGAGAGTGAGTAAGACTCCTCTTGATCTGCATGGGGACTGGTAATCACAGGTGCAGAGTGTTGGGTTTTCTTCACTTTCCTCATCCTGTAGTCACTGATCATATGTAAAAACAGGACTTGCGCAAGTTTCCCATGGAGTATTTTTTATTTTTAACAATATTTACCTTTGACCTACTGTACCCTGGAGATGTGTGGTGTATCTGTGCTCAGGTACTCGCAGAAGTGTTCATTTGTTTCTTTCTAATGCCTGGAGCAGTCGATGCTGCTCCACAGCATTTTTTATAAATCCTTCAGCATTGCACAGAGCAGCAGGTTCTGGTGGTTTCATCAGAAAGCTGTGAGCATGCTATGCTTGGTTGGACTGAATTTTTCTGTACAATACGAGAAAAACTGAGCATAACACATAGGACGGCAAGCTATAGGTTAGAATAGTGTTTTTTTCACACTGTGTACTCGCTTGATGGCATGTAAATATAGTTTTGAATATCTGAAGTTACAGGTGATGCTATGTTAGGACAATTTAGGATTAAGATCACACTAACAAATCCTGTTTTCCCTTGCTTTTGCTTTTACTTTTTTATCAACTCTGAGACTGAAATTTTCCAAGTCAGAGGTCTCTCTGATGAGGAATATGATATGCAGCTTAGTCACTCCTGATAACAGGGCCAGGAAAAATTCCAACTGCATTAGTGCAGAAAGGTGACTTTGGAGTGGGATGAACCCTTGGCTGTTGCTGTAGCAGACTGCTCAGGTTAGCTGTGTTAGAAGCATTTGAAAAATAGCAGCAGTTAGTTAGCACTTCTGGATTTTAATGTCCAAAAAGGTTTCAGCCAGGCTGAGTGGGGAGGAGACCATCCCATGAGGCAGGACTTTTCCCGGAAGGATGCAGGTTGTTCTAGGCCAAGTTGAAGGATGTGGGACAGAAGTGGTTGTAGGTGAGTGGGGAGGAATGGGCAGAAGAATCTCTTCTGGTTAAACCATGTCCTCCTCCAGACCCCAGCAGCACACTCATTCCCATCTTTCAGCAGCCCTTTTTGGAGGGCAGGTGTTTGTCATGGGATATCATGTTCCCTCTGACTCTGGGATGCTCCAGGGTCGAGCGCTCCGTGTCTCCATGCAAGTGGCAGTGTCTGGAAGGGGGCTGATGGCAATGAAAGACTTAAACCTTTCTGCTCTTCTGATGACCTCTGCTGGCATCAGCACGGGGGAATTCCTTTTTCCTAAGTGTGCTTTTGAGGAAGATCCAAGTCTTGGGATTTCGTACAAAACCTTATGAAGCTTTCCTACTCCCTCAGATGGGTTGAGTTCAGCTCTCAGAAGACATTGAAACTCCAAGTTCATGCTGTGCTGGAGTGTGGGGCATGTCCTGGGGTTAGAAAACACTCAACTTCCTTAAATTCATCAATTTCTCAATGATTTTATGGCTATATTGGGAGCTGTGACATAAATGTTGAACTGAGGCTTGTACTTTTGTCTACCCATAAGATAAATAAATGTCTGTAGAACTCAGACTGGAGCAGAGAAAGTTGAATGTGGGGTGACTGAACTGATTTTAACAAGACAAACTAGAGTGTTTTGGATCATTCTTCAAATTTAACACCTAGGAATGGACTTTATAATTTGTATGTTGACACTGTGTTCTGACCTAGAGTGTATTTGGAAAATGTGTAATGATAACGTTTGTGCTCCTGAACATAAAGAGAACCATAATACATGGATTTGTGAGTTTCTGTGGTGCCCAAAAGCCAGTCTTAGAGACCTGTCCTCAACTATCCATTACTTGAAAACTCAGGGATCCCTTCACATCAGAAGGAGCTGTTTATTTTTTTTTCCCCACTCTCTTTTTATGAAAGAAAGGAGAACAAAGAAATACTGCGGGTGGTTTTAATGTATTGCAGAAAAAAAAAATCATTAAAAAGCATTGCAAACTGGCTGAAGGCCAGTTTTGATCACGAGGAATCCCAAAGTGCTGTGTAAACCTGAACTGTAACACGAGGTCCACTTGGGCATCCACCAGCACGAGCAGCTCTTAGTGACACTTTGGAGCAGCTCAAGCTGAAACTTTCTTTAATCTCCGCCCCCCCCCCCGCATTTTGCACCTCCTTCTCCAGGGAACTTCAGCCTCAATGGAGCCTAGATCTCTCACCTGCATTCTTCTCCTTAAATCTAAATCTCCAGTTTCTTTGGGTCTGACCCCATCATCATAATTGCTGTTGTTACACCCTCTGTAGTGGGAAAAAGGTTAATCTTGGGGACGGTCAGGGTGGCACTGAGGCTATTTTGGTGTGGGACGGGTGTTTCTCATGGTGCAGTTTGCTTCTGCTGCAAGGTATGGGTACATCCCTGTCCCTTCTTGTCCCCCTCTGCCAGTGCTGGCAGCTCAGAGCTAACTGGGCAGAAAACTCACCCTACCCAAACGTGAAGGATTTTTTCTGCATGTTTAGCTCCCCGTTCCAGCTCACTATGGGATCAGATGAATGGAGATGGAAGGGGAAGAATAAATGCATGAAAGAGGGCTGGGGAGCTAGACCAGCCTCTTGGCTTTGGCTCTTAGATGGGCATGGTGCTGTCAAGTCGTTGTTGTTTCCTACCATGCTGGATTTCTTTCCTGCGTTTAGTCTTTTCTTCACCCCACTGCTGGTTTAAAGGTATTCCAGGCCACTTTTCCTCATAGGAGTTATTTTCCATCCGTTTCTGATTTTGGTTTACTTGCTTTAGAGTTGTTTTTTTTCCTCTTTTATCTGCTGGTGTGAGGTAGAAAGAGGAGGGAAGTAAATGGGGGGAAGTAAAACTCGGAAGAAAGAACAAATTTCCATATTCTTTGTCCTGCTTTGTTAAGGTTCATACAGTATTTTTAGTCGAGGAGGTTAGGTTTTGTCTTTTTGGTTTAGGTGAAGACTCAGGAGTGCGTAAGGAAATGGCATTTTTGTCTGTTCTTCAAAAGCAGATCTCAGCACAGAATCAAAGGCTGCTGTGCTCTTAGAAGTGTTTTATTTTGAATGGAAAAGAAAATAAAGCTGCAGCACTTCCAAAAGTTCAGATGCATTCCTGAAAATCTTTCAGGGGTTGTATGGCTTTGCTGCTTCAACTCTTGCTATGAGTTTGATTTAAAATGACCTCCTAAATCTGTTGATAGTCTTGTAAAGCAACTAATTTTGCCTGGCCCTGGGTCGAAACAACACAAACCCACCGAGTTCTGCAGGAATTCCTTCAGGAGCCAAAGGTGCTTAGATATGCACAGCAAAGGGTGCATAAATCTAAAATTGTGGTTTGTGACAAACCTGTATCCGCTTATTTTTTTCATTAGGTAAATCAACTTAATACGACTCTGCAGAAGAGACGCTACTCACCTGCGTAATTAATATTTCGTTAAATTTAACAGTGTCCTCCCAGAACTCCAGATGTTTTCCATGTGAGCACAGACAGTGTCAGCGGCAGAGCTGAAAGGATCAGAGGTCCTGCTGGGAGAGAGCCCTTGGGATGTGCTTACCCTGGTGTCACATTTACCATATGACCCTTTCTGCTCTTGAATTGCAAGATTAAAAAAGCAATATAAAGAGCTTTTTTTATATAGATATATAGATATAGCTATTTTTGTACCAAAATAATTCCAAATATATAATTCTGAAATTACATGGTTATAGACTGGATATAATTAAAATTATGTAAATTGTGCTGTTAAATGGCTGACTTCTTTCAGAGGAGCTTGTACTAAGTGAAGAAATGTTGTTCCTCATGTGTGTTTTGGTAGAGCTGCCTTGATAGATTTCAGAATGACAGGCTCCACATCAACTTAATAACATGCAAGCAAGGGTACAAATTTATCATCGCTGCTAATTGCAAGTCTGTTGTTTTTATACTGCCATCTAGGCCTCAGCCCCAGTTGGAGACCTGTTCTATTTGGCACTGTGGAGAAGCTTTATAAAGGATATTCTGCCCCTTAAAAGGTTGATAAAGGATATTTTGCTACTTGAAAGCTTGTCATGTACATAGAAAAGAGAAAGGCAATCTCCTGCAGGAGGAGAGAACAGGCTTCTTTCACCTGTTTCCACCACTGAGGCTGTGATTAGAATTGACCTTCCTTAGGAACGTGTTAGAATAGGGATTAATTTGCCCAATTCGGGGCCTTAATTCTGTGCCGTCCCATGAGTGGAGGAAATTTCATTGTTTTGTAAAGAAACACAACGTTTCACCTACATTGCCATTCAACAGGGCTGAGCTATCATGAGAAGAATGTACCATCTACAAATAATTAATTAGTGTAAAAGTATCTTCCAAATAATAGCTAGATTTTAGCTCTGTGTCAATATTCAAAATAATTTGGTTAAACATAACTATGTCTCAGTTTTCTTGCCTTTTCAGTCTGTTTTTATAACTGCATTTTTACTCATATTTGAAAGTTGTTTGTATTCCTTTCTGTGTGTGAAAGGAAAAGTACACAGAGCAAGGAAAAATTTTTAGGTGTGCTTAGGCTACAGTGCAGTTAGGTATGTTGAGAGCTTTGTTGAATAGTTGGGGTAAACAACTGGGGGTGGTGGTTTTTTTCTATTAAATTAGTTGTAGTTAGCTTAGTATTTTACTATCGCATTTATCGTGTGTTACTATTCTGTTTGGATATATCATTTATTAACTTGATTTTTTTTTTAAATCTCATCTAGGTTATTCTGAGGTTATTCCAAAAATACCCCTCAACATGCCTGAAAACCCTGCAGCAGGTATGTGCTCTGAAAGTGATTGCTTTTGTGGGGCAGTGAGTAAGGAAGCTCCATTTCTAACCTGGACTCCTTTGTGGTGCAGATAAGCAGCAGGTGCTGCAGATTCTGGATCGTCTGCAAGCAAAACTGCATGAGAAAAGGGATTCCCAACACCAGGAAAACCTGGCTGTTTTACGGAACACCCTCAGGAGCCCCTTGTTTAACCAGATCCTGACTCTCCAGCAATCCATCAAGCAACTGAAGGAACAAGTGAGTGTAAAATTACAGTTGTTGGTGCGATGATCACTATGGGCAGCATGGGACTTAAATCATGATGTGTAGGCGTGTGTTAACGAGGGCGCTCTTGTTAATAAGCTGTAACATGGTGTGAGTGAACGTTGGGCTTTTTTTTCTTTTGTGAAGCTGATATCAACAGTCGCTGCTGAAATGAGAAGTGGTTTTGCAACAAACAGGTCAAAGGGCAATGTGCTTTGAAAGGAATGCAGGAGAGGCAGGTGTTGGGAACCACATCGATCAGAAAAAAGCATCTGTGAAAGACATCAGCTCCAGTACTTTGAGTTCTGGACAGTGTTGGACTGGGATCCTTTGTTTTCCAGAGAAGCTAAATACGTTTATCAGCTCACTGGCAGCATCTTTCCTCTTTAAAAGACATCATTGCTTCAGTTCCTGTTAATTTGTACTAGAATGGTTAACCTGCTTTGGGAAAGAAAGTCTAGAAAACCCCTCCTAAAGATTTGCCAAGCTCCGATGCAGACCTACCCAAGCTAGTTTTAAAATTACTTGGCTTCAGCAGCAGTCAGAACTTATGTAGTTTGGTTCATAATGCCAGCTGACATTTAGGTTTTGTGGACATGGGCATCCATGACACATCTGCATGAACAGATCTTGCCCTGCAGTTAACTTAAAATCAGCAGCAAAAGCTCAAAGTCAGGGCCTGAGCAGCAGCAATCCCTGTCTTGGCTGCACCTGCCCAGCTGCAGATGTAGCGGGGTGGTTAGGGGGACAAGGCCACCTTGCTGTCATTGCCAAATGTGTTTCACATATTCCTCCCTGGGTGGCTTGGTGATGGCTGTGACATTCATTATCCGTTCTTGCCATATTCCCATACGTTCTACATCTCTTCCTTCCTTCCAGAGCTTGAATGCGTGTCTGCATACTATTAAAAAAATGTATAAAAATACAAGTATATTTAAGATGTGACTGTGACAGAGTGGATGTTACATCCAGAATGTTAGGAATTCGCATATCTAGAAAATTTAGGGTTTTTTGAAATTCTATTTAAGGATGGGCAGTTTCATTCAGGATGAGATTTTCCAGTTTATTATATCACACTTGGAATATTTCTGCATTTCTTCATTATCAGTCAGGACTAGAACTGCAAGTTCTAGCAGTGATAGCATGTTCAGTGTTAGCTAGTTTGTACCAAGGCTCTCTCTGGGGAAGGGATAATACAGACCAGGCCTTGGGCTCCTGAGTGACTCTTGGAGTATTTGGATTTTTGTGCCAAAATTTTATACTGATTTGCCTGACAATTGCAACAGGGCTTGAATGCCTCTTTAATGTTTGCTGCTTTTGCGTGTGTTGTTTCTGAAATATTAGAGTGAAAAGAGGATAACAGGCATAGGCAGGGAAGACGCATGAAAGAAACGAAGAAAAAAGTGGAGTAGAAACACAGCTGGAACACTCAGAGAACTTTCCTTCTGAAAAACAGTTTAAATTTTATTATAATAGCTTGGTTGTAGCTTAAATTTTAATGCTGCCTAATTTATACAGGTGCGTGTATTTGTGTGAATAGGCATATATGAACATGTGTACACTTGTTTCTTTGGCAGTCTGCACACAGCATGGTATATGTGGAAATCCCTTCTTTTGTTTTTTATAGTTTTCCCACATCTTTGTTCATTTTTAACAGCTCAATTACATGCCTCCTGACCGCTCAGTAGATTTTGATTTTACTAAGAGAGGGCTGCTCGTGTTTGCTGACAAATCAGTCGCTGCTGGGACACCTTGCCTTTCACCTGGACCCAAAACACCTCCCTTCACTCCAAACCTGGGAGTTAATGAATTTAACATGATCATCCAACAAATGGCAAAGGTAAGGCTCTCCAAACTTATTTTGCTTTAGGAGTACATTTTCACAATGCTTTTTTGTTGTGTTTCTGGGAGAGTGGTGCCTCCTAACCAGTACAAAGTAGAAGTGTGCTGAGGAAAACTTTACCCTGTGGAAGATAAAGTCAGCAGTAGAAAGAAGTGGTTTGGTGGCTTGTTTTGTTTTTTTCTTTCTTTGCCAATTTTTTTTTGTCTTGCTTCCTGCCGCATGCCCCGACACAGTAAAGAAGTTTCAGTTGCCAGAAAAATGCTTTTGGTATTTGATGACACTTAGTTGAAAATGGACATTTTCAGCAGAAACTCGTTTTGATGGAGACACTTGTTTTATCAAGTATATTTTGAATTGGAAATGTGCCAGCTTTGTTAATACACGAGCAGTGTGAAGGATTAAAAGAAGTAGCACGTAATATTTTATTTAACTCTTCATTTAGTTTGGCTTAACTTTGCCATGTGGATTGTGAAAACTTGTGATTTAAAACTGTACAAATTCTATAACAATTCTATAAGAATTTGTACAGGTGCAGACATCCACACACGTGGGATTGGCATTTATACCACAAATGTATTGTTCTGTGTTACTCTGAACCATTTATTTAATTGGTTAGTCATGCCTTTCTGTATTAAGTAACTGTTGCTAATTGACTACCTTAATGTAGCTGTAATATTTTGAGCATAACTCCTCTCATTAGTATGTCATTAACTCATCAGATAAAAGATTTAGCAGTAAAGACTGCATGTTATTTTGGATAAAGCAGCTGTGATAGTAGTGCATTCTCTGAATAATATTTCCCAGTAAACAACCCCAGAAATCTTGTATTAAAACTGAAAAACAGGCAGTTGCAAAAGCAAACTTTTTTAACATTAAGTGTGAAGTTGCAGGGAGGGGAAGGAAATTAATTTCTCTATTTAAAAAATACAGTCTTTTGAATGCACACCTAAAATCAGCATTAAAAGCAAGGGGAACCAAAAGACAAGTAATTTAGTTCAGCTATGCAGCATTTCCAGAAATCCCAAATATATTGCTCTAGACAGCACTTCTTTCATAGTTCTCATCCAGTTTGGAATTCATCTCATAATGTGAATGAAGTGTGAAAGCAGCTCTTAAATTCCCTGAGGTTTCAGAACCTCAGAGTGCTTGCATATCCAATACGTTGCTATATTAAAAATAATAAATGGAGGAGCTTTTATAGAAATAACATATTCAGTATTTTGCCTTTCTTTAGTCTTAGGAGGAGAATAATTCTTCCAGTGTTCATAAGTTTTAAACTGGCTCGTTCTATTGCATTAAAAATTAGTAAATAATTTTATTTTCTGTTTTATTAGGGAAGACAAATAGAATCAATAAAGATTGATAAACCTTCTGTTGGAGGTCTTGGATTTAGTGTGGTTGCTCTTAAAAATCCCAGCGTGGGAGAAGTTGGTATCTTTGTCAAGGAAGTCCAGCCAGGAAGCATAGCTGACAGGTGAGATCTTTATAATTGTGTTGGAAAATTGTACTTTCCATGGAGGGAAAAGTTACAACATTCACGTTGAAAACTCCATCAGAATAACATGTTTATCTGGGTTATCTGGTGGGGTATTTTGGTGGTGGTATCTTGAATTCTGGCTTTTCAACTGAAGTGACTCATGTTTCGAGGATCAGATTTTCAGATGAGTTTTAAATATCTGAGCAATTCATAAATGGAATTTCCAGAAGTCATGACTCACTGTAGAGAATCTTGAGAACTGATTAAAAAAAACAAAAGAAAACTCAGAAAAGAATACAAGGAAAATAAAAATTAGATTCCTTTTTAATTTTTATGCATTGTGTCCCTGAAAGATTTTACCCCCCCTTGTTCCTTTATTAATGTGCCGCTGACAATGCCCTATTTATAGTTGGTTTTACTGTTTGTTTCCTGTGTAAATTTAGATCCACTTCTCCCGACAGATCCCTGCACAGATGTCATCATAGAATCAAGGCTTCAGGCAGTTTCTTCCTGTATTGTCTGTGGGTTTTCACCCAACAACAAAAGGCAGAGCAATCCTTTAAAAATAAAATGTGATTGTAAAACCACGAGAGTTGGCATGAGACAAATGCAGTGCTCGGAATTATGTTTCAAGAAAATGTGTCTAGATTTCAAGTCATTGGTGTCACTTTTTAAATAACACATGTCAGGAAGTGCCAACACAGGATGACAAAAAGAGTGGGGAGAGGTTGGAATGATAATGGCGATGGGCCCACAGAGAACACACCAGAGAACACTTAAAGAAAAGCATATTAAGGCTCTTTCAAAGTGGAGACAGATGGACTGATCCGGATGTCAAAAGGAGGGTGAATATCTCACTTTAGGATTTGATGACCTGCTGCTCACTTTCTTTGATGAGAGAATCTAAAATATGGTTAGTGCTCGAAGAAAGTGATTTCTGGGAAACATTTTAAACATGGCATGATAAAAAGGAAGTTTAAAATGCCTTAGTTAAGATGTGCAGTTACATTGTTTGAGAGTTTATAAATTTCCCCAGCATGCTTCCCATTTTGCTTCTGAGACAAGATCTCCTGGAGATTTTTTTTGGATTCCTACAGAGCTTTGAAGGCAGTGTCTGTCTATGTAACAGTTTGGTCTCGTGCTCAGAATGAATATTTAATAAAGGAGATGAGTGATGGTTTCTCTCTTGTCACAAATCTAAATTCATCACTGGGATGAATTAACTGTGAAATTTACATTATGTCAAGGTAGCAACTGAACTGTGTATTGCTCAAAGAAAGTTTCATGTGTGAAGCTTGATACTATAAATTTTAAGTAAAATATAAGTATGCAGCTCATTGATCTTCAGATTAAATAATGATACAAAACAATATCAAAGCCTGAGTTGTGGATACTTAGAGATAGTAGCATGTAGTGCTAAACACAATGAAGAATAGTTCCTAGTTTATTGTTTAACTACAAAAATAATTTTTTTCTGCTTTGTAGTTCAATATTAACAAGAAAGGATGAGGGAATTTCAATTAATTTTGAGTAGAAGCAAAATAAAAAATTGAAGAGATTTTTGTACCATGATAAAGCTGGAACACAATGTGTCTGGGCGTTGCAGTTTACAGTGTGAATTGCATGTAGTTTGGAATTTGGTGAAGACATCCTAATAACCAGATTTTTAAAATATATAAACGTTTAACCTTGCACAACTATGTATTTTGCATGTTCGTATTTAAATTACATGAGCCCGATGTGAAAGTCACTCTGGTGCATTAAAAAATTGCTTTCAATGTTTTGTTAAGGGATCAAAGACTGAAGGAAAATGACCACATACTGGCCATTAATTGCACCCCATTGGATCAGAACATTTCCCATCAGCACGCCATTGCCCTCCTCCAGCAATCCACGGGATCCCTGCATCTGGTCGTGGCCAGGGAGCCAGTTCAAGGGAACAGCAGAACTTCAGCTGTCTTATTAAGTGATGTAAATCCACCTGAGACTGTGAGTTGTTGTAATACTGTCAAAATCAGATTTTGAACTGTGCTGGATATTTTGTTCATGTCTCTTAAGTGTTTATGTTAGCAAGTTTTACATGCAGGGATTTTTTGCTTTAATCAGATTTTATATGTGATGACATTTCATTTAGACTCACCGTGCAGTAAGTGTGAGGCTTCCATTGCAAAGCTGCATGGAGCTGTTATAAAATAGATCCTGGGTTTTTATGGGATAGCAGAAGCTTTAATAGATCAACATATTCTTAGCAGCAGGGTCTGTTCAGCATAGGCTGGGTAAAACATTTTATGAGTATACTCAGCTGAAACCTACTTGAGCTCAGCAATTAAAGGTGCTCTGATTACATCTTAAAAGAGAGTAAAAGTAACCTGTCGTGAACACTGTTTGAAATATCCCAACCAATTTAAACTTACACTGCTCAAACGAAAAAGCCTTGTTTTTGTTTTAAAAAACAAACAGAAATTACCTGTAAAGAACCTCTCAGTCACTGTTTATTTATCAGGGGTTTATTTTATCTGCAAATTTCATTAATTGTGAACTCATTTTGTTTTCCTGACAAAGGAGAGCTTGTCACTGGGACAGGTAATAAATTAGGGCTGAACTTCCATCTGTGTTCTGCTGATATGTTCCATGTGGACCAAATTCCACTGAATTTGGTCAAACTGCACATCTAAATTCAGGGATTGCAATATTGGAATCTTAATTTATTATGCTAGTAGATTTTGATGGAAATCTGGGTAAAAGCAGTGCTTTTCCGTATTCTTAGTAATTATTTCCCTCATGATTATTACAGAGGTAGTGAAATCTGAAGGCTTTAGTGGATAATCAATATTGTTTATTGCACTGAAAATTTTAAAGAATTAAACTTTAACTGCTTTTTCATTGAAAGATCTGCACTGAACAGACTAACAAAATAAAATACAAATATATATCTCTACAGGGGGTCCTTAAATTTCTTTTATGATATTTAACTGGCTTTGGCAAAGATTTTCAGTATGCTAATAAATCCTTTATTCACAGAAGACTTAAATCTGCCTACTCTGCTCCATTTTGGTTTCTATGAGATATTAATCTGACAGAAACATTGGCTGGGTTTGAGTTGCTTAACAGCTTTGTTATTTTCAGATTGTCTTGTAGAACATAAGGTCATGGTACAGTGTAGCTTGGAAAATTTGCTTCCAATTCAGTATGGCAGAATATTGTGTTGTGCTATTAATTCAGTACTGGTGGTGTTTAGAGTAAGTGGAATAACAGAAATAAGAATTTGGGCAAGGCTAAGTGAAAACTAGGCCAGTGCAAGCTCCTTGCCCCTGTTTTTCCCTCTTGTTTATAGTGTTCTTGATTTATGAAAAACTGAAAGGATAGTTTTCATTTTGGCAGGAAAATCTCAAAATTGCTTTTTCCTAGTCAAGCTTTTTCCTAGTATCCTGTTATCCTGAAAGTGAAGGACAAACTTTGTGTTTAAAAACAGATGATAAATCCCACTGCGTATTTATAAGGAAATGGAGCTGAGTGAACAAAATCCCACAGATCTCCAATATGTGGGGTAGAGAGAGAAAATTGCTCTGATTAATTCTCGTCATTCACGTGAAAGTGAGAAACATTAATGATCGACTCAAATTAAAATCTCCTGTTTTTATTAATTGCAGATTCACTGGGGCCACATTGAAGACGTTGAGCTGATTAACGATGGTTCGGGATTAGGCTTTGGAATTGTAGGAGGAAAGTCAAGTGGAGTAGTTGTAAGAACGATTGTTCCTGGGGGATTAGCAGATCGGGTAATTTGTTATATTATGTCACTTCTTGTTTGATTGTAAAGTATAATTAACTGGTTTTGACAGTCTTAAAATAAACTAATACATTTAAACAAAAGGAAGCTGATAGCATCAAAGTCTGAATGCCAACATATACTTCATAAATAAATATGTTGAAGGTATGATTGAGGAGAAAGTCAGCACCTGATATAAATTAAGTTGTTTCTCAGACATGCTTTGGCTTTTGTAACATTGTTGAACATGCAGAAATTCTGAGAAGTTGTCTCATATTTTCAAAACTTTTTATATTTTCAGTTTTTGGTCAGTGTGGGGGAGGACAAATACACTGTAGAATTTGACAGCATCTACAGGGACAAACTCTCCAAATGAATTGTTAGGCAAGAGGATCTGTTCTATTGAAGTCATTGCATTACAAGATTTAGTTTAGGGATTGAAAATGTCCTGGTTGTAGTGGATTTCATTTCCAGGGGTTTTGATCCCTGCCTTGCAATCTGACCGGTTCAGGGAGACACTTAGGTTTGATGCAAAGGCTTTTGGAGCTCCTGATGCTTTTTGAAGTTGCACGGATACAGTTTTCAACCTTTGATTGCTCATGTTTAAAGACTCGGTGCTAAGTGTTGCTGCATTTAAGAGCAGAACACTTGCAATAACAAAACAGATTTGGATTTTTTAAGTGAATTTGATCATAGTGAGTTACAATAGCTGAAGACTGGAACCCATACAGACAAAGAGAGAGGCTAGGGTACTTCCTCTAGTATAGGATGGAAATAAAAACTAGAAATTTGAAGAACTTTGCTGGACAGTGTTGGCTTTTGCTTGACTGTATCCCCCTGAACCTGTGCTGTATAAACGAGTATTTCTTAATTATTGTCTAACACCTGTTTTGCTGTAAGGAATGAAGTGTTTTGGCTACCAATGAAGCATGTAAGTTAAGAACTCACCACATCATTCTCAGCTGAATGAGGACATCGTTAAGAACATGTGAAATAATGATGCATATACACGTTAAAATTGGATGACTTTGTAAATGAGTTTGAGTTGGTTCTGGGAATAACTCTGTGATTGCTGTATAAATCAATGCACTGAAGCTGGTGGAGCTGTGCTGATCAATACTAGCTGAGGATTTGGTCCTTAGGAATGCTTGCTTATAATAGAAATTATGATATAGGTCATGAATCATAATTATCAGGTAAAAATGGTTTATATGTAGTCTTGTTAGCTTCACTGGATTTACTCACTCTAGTTGGAGTTATTCATATGAGAAAAGAATTGCCAGGCTAATATAGAAGTATTAGGAAAAAGTCTAAAAAGTCCTAAATCAAAATGCTGTGCTTTCATTCTAGCCCCTGTCCCGTGAGGATTGTTCTATGAAATAGCAATACATGACAATTTGTGAGATTATAAAACATTGTTGCTCTCTGTTTTCTCCTAAATGAACAAAACATTGGAAAAAACAGCTCATGATTGTGCAAACGAGTCCTTGAATTATTTAGTATGTTGCCATGGTGGTCAGTTTGCTGGTGTTTTCTCACATTGGTTCTCATGGCCATGAAGATGCCATAAAGTTTCAGTTTTGTAAGGGAACAGATATTTTATATATAGCCTGGAAACATTTTTTCAATTTCATTTGTATTTGAAGGATGGGAGGCTCCGAACAGGAGATCACATCTTACAGATTGGAGGGACCAATGTGCGAGGAATGACAAGTGAGCAAGTTGCCCAAGTGCTGAGAAACTGTGGGAATTCTGTTAGGATGATTGTTGCAAGGGACCCCAAGTGTGAAGTCATGGAGGCTCCACCAGCTCCTGTGAGCTGGCCAGTCAGCACATTACCTTCCCTTCAAAATGGAAATGTAAGTACCTGCTGCTTCCTTATGACATTTTTAAGTATGTTTGTGGCTTGTGATCAGAAAGGAAAGAGAGAACAGAGTGTTCTTGAGACCTAAAGTACTACTTCTCTCTTGAGTTTCCAGATATCGTGTGCTTGTATTTAAGTGGTCATTATTATAACCCTGCCTTCTATAATTTTTCCCTTTTTCCTGTATGTTATTAATACCTGTAATCTTGGGATTGGAATGACCAGCTTTACAGAATTTATTTCAGAGTGGATAATTTAATTACCAAGACCATAAACATTATCGATAAGTGGTACTTTTAGTTCTCCTTCTTAGCTCATTAAATTTTTGCTAATCAATCATTTGTAAGTGGATTTAAAACTGGACTCTGAATTTGCCTGCTCTGAAATCCAGAGCGCCATGGCCACACCAGAATTATTCAGCACAATCATCTTTTTATGAAACATAAGTGTAATGTTTTCATAGTCTACACTACTGTCTGTGATAGGAAATATATCTAAAAATTTTGAAACTTGTTTTAGCAAATCTTATCATGGTCATATCAAAGTCTCTTGTTTTTGAAGTCATTCTTTTCAGTTTTGAGTAATTAAAATCAACAAATGCTACACTAAGTGTACAGTAGGTCTCGAAACATAAACAAAGCTGTGCTTGTGTACCATCTGCTGCTACTGTGCTGCTTAGATTTAGGTGTAGAATCTGAGTAGCCTTTTCTTTCTTGTTTAGTTTCTTGAATGTGAGTGAAGAGAGGTATTTTTTTTTAAGCACCATTTTTAAAGGTCAGAGTAGAAGTCATATTATTATAAATGCACCTTCTTGCTTGCTGGGCTGCCAGTAGCTTTGTGTCTTGCATTTCTGGAAAAATGAAGCTGCCAGTTGAGTATTTTGGGTCCTTCTCAAGCTCCTCTTCTCCCAAGAGGGGTCGGTGTAGTACAAAATGTGAGTGGGAGAGAGATGGGAGGAGGGGATTTATGTAAGTAAGGTTGGAGTCTTAAAGGTGAGTTTGTCCAATACTCTGACAAAAAGCTTTCCAAGAGAATCAGCATTGTTACGAGGCACTTCTTTTCTGATTGGATCATATTTTCCAAGGCCCATATTAGGGAAAAAATAACATGATCCTAGTTTTGTTTCCTCTACGAAGTCCTATTTTTCTCTCTTCATGTTGTCCCTAATCAACCCCAAGCACTGTAGATGCTGCAGCCTTTCTACAATATTATTTCTTCTGGATGTATTTTCAGTGTCCTCCTTATGCCTCCTGTGTAGTTTGGAGGGGAAAAAATAGTTTTGCAATTTTATCTACTTCTTTCTGGATGTAATCTCTTTTTTTTTATGAACTAAATAGTGCCTTCATATGTAGATTTGAAGAAACTCCTTTTCCTGGTGCTAGGAGAGATTTGCTGAAGACAAGATTAGTGGCTAAACTGAATGTATTTATTAATTTAATGTTGATTTCAATGCTTCACCTTTCCACTTTGTCTGAAATTTTCTCTATAATCTAATTTATCTCTGATTTCAGAGTACTTTCACTAGCTGTGAGCTTTGGAATAGAAAATTTTTTCCTTTTTTTTGCAAACTAGCAGAAAGGCATTTTTAATAAATCATTGGTTATTTTCAGTTTTATATTAATATTTGATTTTCTTTAAATTTCTTATTTCTCTATTGTAGTAGAGAATAACTCAAGCTACCTACATCTGTGCATGGGCACAAGAAAACAGACTTCTCATCTGTAGTCTCCAAGATACTGGCAGCAATGTTAGCAGCCTACTTGTGCTGACTCTACTTAGGACTTTGCACTTTGATTTTTCCAAGCTCCCTTCTAATGTTTTGCATTAAAGCATTGACTCTGAGGAGCTTTTGATTGTCAAAACAGCAGGACTCTCAAGGCCATAGCTCCATTTCAGGTGTTTCTATAGGCTTGTTTACTCTATAGATAAGTGACAACGTCAAAACTTATCTTCATCTCCATCAGCCTCTTACGGAGCAAGGGAGTTGGGAGGCATTTAATGAGTTTAATGACTGTGCTAGTGGAGGGAGGTGTGTGTGATGACGAGATAGCTGTCCATTGATTTCTCTTTCATTGAAAAGTGCAATATGGCTATAACTCCGCCCTGCTTTTAATATGGGTCTGTCCAAAGCTGATACTTGGCAAGCATTTGATTAAACTTATCTTTTTCACTCCCTTAAGAAATGTTTTCTAGTTTCCCAGTCCTTTTTTTGCTGTTGGCAGTGACAGTATCCCCTCTTGATTTCATCACTTTAACAGGCCTTACTCTCATCATCTTCTTTTTGATCTCATTGGGCTGTACAATCTGATTACTGAAAACAAACAACTCTATGTATTTTAACTTATCCGTTGCAATCCCAGATTTATGTGCTTGATTGTTTTTCTCTTTGGTCTCACGAATGTCTTTACTGTTCCCTGTTTGAACTCTTGTCTTGCAGTTTAGATTTTTACTGGTCAGAGGAGAATTGCACAGACATCCTGAGGCAGCTTTGTAGGGACTTTACAAATGAATTTACATTGCATTTACAAAGGAATTATCTCCCTTTTCTGATAGGTCTTAAAAATGATTTTATCTGAATGCAAACTAATGAGGCTTTTGCGTCCCATTGCCATGGACAACCTGGAGGCTTCTGGTTCTCCTTGCGGCTTGATGGTGGTCAAACCTGAACAGGACCACAGCAAACATCAGGACTCACATTTTAAAGGGAGAGAAGAAATTCTGAGGGCATTCAGGATTTTTGTTGTCTTGAGGGATTGACTGGGAAGTTTGTTGTTACCAAGTGGAATCCAAAGGGAAATGTCCCCTGAGTAGTCTAATAAAAACCTTTCATTAAAATGTTTATATTATACCTCTGACAGCTATATGGATCAGGTATTGGGAAAAAATTTAAAAAGCAAACAAAGACTTTGGTGACACTTTATTTTCAGCAAATCTTGGTTATGTCTGTCTTACAAATAAAATCCCTCTTAAAACAGGAAAATCAAAATCACTGCTCACTTCCGAAGATCTTAATTAACCTGCAATATTGTAACGGTACTGCGAAATTACAAGATTTTTTTTACTGTCTTATGCTTTATTTATAGGATAATATCAACCTTTTTGATACCTATGACGTTGAACTTGTAAAAAAGAATGGGCAAAGCCTGGGAATAACAATTGTTGGATATGCTGGCACATGTGATGTAGGTGAGTTCTACAGGATGTAGTACGTCTAGGACAGGGGCTTCTCAAATACCCTTTATTAACTATGGGGAAAATGAATAGCTCCTACCTGTGGTAGGATACGGGGACATGCAATCAGCTGGTTTTTTTCCCCTAAATCCTCTTTAAATTAGAGCTGTTAACTTGTCTTTCAGATATTGGTTGCACAAATGATAATATCTTTAAAACTGACCCAACTGAATATCTGGTTTTACACAAAGGGGTAGTGCTTTTTATCCCTCTCCTTCCTTGTGGGAGTCGAGGTAATTTGGGAACATGGTGCAGCTGGAGTTGCTCTCAAACGCTCTTTGTTCCCAGGAGATCCTCTTGTGTTGCCAGGCAGGAATCCCAGGCCAGTGCAGGGGGCTGGGGAGGGGCACATGTCAGGCAGTGGGAAAAGGTGAGTTTGAAGCACTGGTGGAGGGGTTTTGTAGAGCATAGACAAACCATGTTGGGCAGGTGTTTGATGAAGGTCAGTGTCCAGAAAAGGATGGATGGAGTGTGAAGATTTACCAGAATTAAAGATCAGTGTTTCTTATTTAGCATGAGTTGGTGGAAGTGTTAGTGTTTCGGGGTTTTTTACTGTTTTGTTTTGTTTTTATTTCCTTGTTCTAATTAGAATTAATAATCAAACGTCAGACATGACAAAGGACGGCTTTTCTGATTTCCATGTTTCTCTTTTTTTAAAAAAAGAAAAATCCTTCTTCATTAAGATTTAAAGTACTAAATTCTTTAGCTGTAAGATGATTGAAGTCCTGATCAAAGTCCTTAAGCACGTACTTTACTTTTAGCTTAGTTAGTCCTATTGAAATCAAATGCAGCATGGATTTAAGTGATTGTGGTTTAAAGCCTGGGTAAGCACAAGGATGAATCCATGGAGGAGGCAGTCTTTTGTGATCCATTTTAAGGGAAGAATTTTGAGGTCAGTGTACAGGTGGTTGTGTCAGTGCTGGTTTTTCCACCAGAGATCCTCAGTCATTTCATGTCAAGTTGTGTGAGTGGTAACATGCAAATATTGGTGGTTTACACAATCATCACTTTATGGAAAGAAGAATGTGTGAAAAAGGCTGGAATTAAAAATCTTAGTCAGAAAAGAAACAGATTAGGTTAATGCAGTGACTTCTTTCTGTCCTCTCCAGCAGAACCTTCAGGGATTTTTGTGAAAAATATAATACCTGGTAGTGCTGCTGACCACAATGGCCAAATTCATGTCCATGACAAAATTGTTGCTGTAAGTAAAATACTCTTCTTACATATTGCTGTAGAAGTAGTACTTCATTACACATCTCAGTGCTAAAAGAACAACGTAGTAGAGACTTTCAAAAATTAATTAAACCTCCTCTGCTTTGCAGAAGAAATAATTTGGTGGTTTGTATTTGTTTAGGTAGATTTATGACAGAAATGAGCTTTGGCTTGCTGTGGTTAAAGTATTATTTTATATTCAAAGAAGTAGTAAATAGTAGTTAACTATGAAAGAGGCAAGCATTTGGATTAAAGTGTTTCAGAGTGGAGAATCTTGGCTTTTGGCCTGCAGTATAGATGAGCAGCATTAACTTCCAATTGAATTGCATATGATTTGCGTGAGGATGGTTAAGATTTTGCAAGATGTGGTACATTGTTTATGGTCCTTAACGGCTGTGGAGTGGGGATGCAATCAAGATGTTAATGGTCACAAATTAGGTTTAAAATCCCAAGCTTTATGTGTAGAAAAATGGGGAAAAAAAGTTGAATAACAGTGAATTGAATAATAGCCAATTTTGCATTCACAGTACAAGCAGGAATGAATTACACAGTCCTTTTGTTTTAAGAGATAATATTTATGGAGATATGAGTTTAAATTACTTTTAAAATGTGTGCTATGCCAGACCTTCCGAAGTCAGCTTCTCCTTTGTGAGAGCAAAATTTGATACAACATTTTATCTGCAGGAAAAGCTCCTATTGATGCATGATCTGACAGTGAGGTGAACAGAGTATTTTGGGTGTAAATTAAAATATCTGAAAATGTAAGAATTGGACTGTTCAGAATGGATTGAACAAACAGATGTGTATATAGACTTGTTTGGGGCATGTTAGAAATCTGTGAGAAAACAGTGATAATGAACTGAACAGAATTCCAGGTTGACTGCTCTGCTGGGGAGCTTCAATCCAGAGTCCTTGTCAAGACTGGTTTTTGTAAACAAAAAAAAAATCAAGGAAAATCTGTGCATATGTGTATCAGATTAGTAAATTCTGCTTTGTGGTTGCCCCATGAAGACAAGAAATTACTGTTTTGTTTCCTTTTAAAATGCATTTTGAAAATATTATCTCATTAGTGAATGTAACTGATTTAATGAGATTGTTTTGCAAATACTACTGTCTTGGGAGAATAACCCTATAATTCCTGCATAAAATAGTGTGGCTGATGCTTACAGTGTATGATACTACACTACATAGCCTAAGAATGGAAAACAATTACTACTCTTTGATACAATTTTCTTGTTTTAGGTTGATGGGGTTAATATACAGGATTATAGCAACCAAGAAGTGGTAGAGGTATTGAGGAACACAGGACAGACTGTACGTCTCACTTTACTTAGAAGGAAACCTTCCTCTACTATTTCTTCAGAAAGACCTTCAGATAGAGGTAATCCTTTTTTTCTCTTTTTTCTAGCAACTGATTTTATTTTTCACTCAATTTACAGTTACCTCATTTAACAATTCAGGACTAGATACAACGTGATCTTCGATTTTGTAAAAGCACACTGTAGAAAATGAGGTACTTCAGAAGGAATGGAAAGACAAAAAACCAAGAAATTCAGGAAAATTGAGTGCCTTCCCCCCCCAGAATTAACGAGGTGTTGTTACTACTTCCTATATTTTGCAGCATATGATTTGTTTTTTTTTCATTTGTTCTCACAGTGCAGCCAACTGTTCCAGTCTTTGTGTCCCCTGCAGCTGTAGAGACTGAAATTAGTGTGGACACTAAGAATGAGGGAAAACAAGAACAGAAGGATAATCTTCAAAGTGAAAAGCAGCAGAGTCTACTTAAAGCAGGTAGATAGGATATCTTGCAGTGTCTCTTCTGAGCCTTGGGACTGTCTTTAATTCATTTTCAATACTGATGGACTGTCATGGCTTATTCCATCTTCAACTTTTACCTTGTAATGCTTTTTATTCAGTTCCCTCAGAAGTAAAACTCTACCTGTTGGATCTATCGACTCTCCCGCCTCACCCTGTCCCCACAATGTGCATTCTGTGTCATCATGGGGATCACTGATGAAGACACAGGATCACATCAGCCCTGTAGATATTCAGCTCCGCTCATAACTGGGTGCCAAACCGTTCATTAATGCTGTCTTTGGTCCCTGTGCTCCATCTGGTTTTCAGCCTATTTAGCCTATGTTTCCTCAGTTTCCAAATGGGAATGCTGATGTAAGTGGTGTCAAAAGCTTCAGTAAAGTTGAAGTGTGTTACACCTTCATCCACATTGCTGTCTTGCAGTCAGATTGGTCACTTACTTGGCAAACCTATATTGTCTGTTCCTGATTTGTTTTCTTTTCATTTGTGTCTTTGGAAGTGGATTCCAAGAAGTCTCTCATGATTGCGGGGCCTGTGAGTCTCTGGATCTTCCCCCTTGTGTAAAATTTGCCCTCTTCCAGTCAATAGTAATCCCCTTTGTTTTGGGAGGGTTTTTTTAAGGTTATAGGCAGTGGAGGTGCAGCCCTTTCAGTACTCTGTAACAGATCTCATAGACTCTATAGAGCTGAAAGTTCAGTGAGTCCTCTTTCTAGTTCTGGTCCTGCTCTCATGACCTGAGGTGTCCTGCCAGCAGTCATCTGAGAGACAAGATTTGTTCATCCTCCTGTGCTGCCAGGGCCCTGAACCACAATGCTGGGTGAGCAGCATCAGGAGATGGAACTCCCAGGAGTTCATATTTGTTTCCTGATCCAGTGTTACCTCACTCATATCCATCTTAATAGTTGGACTCGATGATCTTAGGAGTCTTTTCCAACCTGAATGATTCTGAAATCTTCTTGTCCTCACAGGCCTTGGACTCTTGTGGACTATTTTCATAATATTCTTCTGGTTTCCTGTACAACATCCCTGATGCCCATTTGTTGCAGTTTCCTCTTCTGACACTGCAGTAACTTCATCAGAACTTGTGTCTTAGACATAAAGACCTGATAGCTGGAGTTCAAATTAGGCATATTTTTAACAGCAAAGGCAAATGGACAATAGGGGCAGGTCACAAAGACTTGCTTTGGGTTTTAGCTGACTTGGGAATCAAGGTTGGAGGTCTTTCCAGAAGGCACGCTTCAGTTTCCCTACAGATTTCTGGGCTTTTCTACAGGAACTTCTGGGTGAATTTATACAGCTTGTGTTAAAGTCAGCATAAATTATCCTTATGCCTTGTAGTTTCTAAGATATGTAGATGTAATAGAGGATTCTAAATTACGGCTGTCAATGAATAACAATTTTGCTATGATTGTTGAAGATCTGTCAGTATTAAAGACAACCTGGAAACAAGAGAAATGTAGCAGTTCCTGTATTCCATTCTGTTTTACTTTTCTGTCCAAGCCTTGTAACCAGACATCCTTTGTTGTGACTTTTGTGTGTTCCCAGAAGTAGGAAGCCAGAACAGAGGCGGTTGAGTAGCTGAGAGTTGAGGTTATCAAAGCATTGTTTTAGCTGCATGAGTAGGAAAGCACATATTGATTTGTAGTTACAATGGACTGATGACTTAAGGGCTGAGTAGGAGGACGTATTTAGGGGCAGAAGAGCCAGAAGGATTTAGACTTACTGTGGCAGAGGCTGGAAAAGAGCAACACATGCTGTCCTGTATCACTTACATAGTCTTTTTTGACTGTGGAACTTCCTATGAATAAAGTATTTTCTTTTTCTACTGAAGTGAACAATATCTCTGTAATCAGCTCCTGACCACCGGTGGTTGGGTTATCACAGGCTACAGGTGTCTGTTCTGATGCAAAGAGAACTCTCTGAGGGATTTGTTACCCAATACCTGGTGCTGTGCAAATACGGTCTGTCAGTGCTGGGATCAGCTTATACTGGGAACTAAAATTTCTTTTACCTGGCTTGAAGGTAACAAACTGTGTTAGTCTCAAGGTATATGGGATCCATGGTGGTTCCTTGCAAGGGCAGTGTGATATAGCTGCATTTCATTCCCCAGAACATGATGTAGCACCTGTACTAGGAGATTTTCCTATTCTCCCATGTATCCAAGCTCCCCTTACCTTGGAGAGTACAGGATGATGGGTTTGTGCAGTATGTCTTGGAATACCAGAATTTAAACACTGAAGATGTTGTTTGTAGTTGGATACAGCCCTTGATGCCATCGACTGTACTGGTCCTCCTTGGCCAGCAGGAAAATGCCACAGGCAAGGCTTTGGAACTGAGTAACGAATCAGGAGCATTTAGTGCTGTGGGAAGCAAGTCCCATTGCTAATTAAACTGTGGTTTTCTCTCTGAAAAACTTTCAGGTACAATGTTCTGCAAAAGCTTTATGCAACTATAAAGTGCGTGTGCCTCTGTTAAAAAGTTGAAATACTTAAGCTGCAAATTTTACTCCTGCAGAAATACGATGTATAAGATTTCACCTCAGAATAGAATTTAATGGCCAGGTTTCAATTCCAAAGATAGGTGCTTATTTTGGACGTGGTGATGGGCACTTCATTATAATGGTGCTAAAGTAAATACGGCTAATTTAAGGCTCTGACTAAACTCTGGAAATGCTTTTAAAAGTTTAATGTAAAAGGTATGTTTTATAAAATGTGTATTACTTCCCTTTAAGCCCAGTTGTGTGAAATTCTTATTAAATTGTGTTTCCTGGGGAGGTATTAAATAGTAATTCTGGCCAGGTAATACCATGCTTAAGTAGTTCTGTTACAAAGGCAACATGGATACAATGTACACGAGGCCTGAAACTCTGTGTTAACAGCATAGAAGCAATTAACTTAATTAACAAGGCTTCAGACTGAGCAGAACTGCTTTCTCTTGCCTTGCAGGAGTACTCAGAACCTAGATATACAGTGGTGTGAGTCAGGAGCTTGAAGGTGTCTGGGGAAAAAGATTTAGCAGTAGGGCAGGTAAAGATAGAGCATTAGTAAGTTTGCTAAACCACGAGGAAATTGCAAGAAGAAAAGATCCCAATTTTGACCAGAAAATATGATTTTCCCATGCATTTTTGGTTTATTCTTGATGCTTGGTAATTAGAAATGAAAAACTTTATGGAAGCACAGGCAGAAGGACAGACTAAATACACTGAAAGTTGCTAATGAAAGCTGTCCCTGAGAAGTGGTGGTGTGGTTTTGTTTTCTGAGTCCTTGTACATTATAAAAAGACATGGCACATATGTCAGGTCATGAGAAATTCAGCTGGATGAGATACTAGAAAGAAACTTCCTATTAGCTGCCATGTGGAAAAAGCTGTTTGGGGAAAATGGAACATTGCAAGTGAATTGAGTGATAGCTTTGGAATTGAATATATTCAATCCAAATCCCTTCAGCCAACATTTCCACAGTTCTGAGGAAGTTACGAGCAAAGACTTCAAAGAGTGTTTGAAAGAAAGAAAGGGGAAAACTTCAAATGGAGACGTGCATCAGCACCTGCTCTGAACAACTCATAGATTTTGGTTATGTGTTTTGGAAGTGACAAAAAAATCTGTATTCAGCCAGCTGAACACAGCTTACACTGTGAACTTTGAGCTTGACCCTGAGATTCATTACTCCTGGTGAACCTTCAAATCTATATTTGGCTGCACAGGGGATTGCAGGTGCTTAGGTCCTGTGTGTTCACGCTGTTGTAACTTTCTAATAGCAGAAAGACAAACTAAGGAATTTTTGTCCCTATATATTTCTGCAAATTGAAAGAGTAGAAGAATGCACTGGTGTTCTGGTTTTGCTACAATTGGGAAGTAAAGATAGTGATCAGCCTATGCTTGATAACAAGGTTCACATTAGAAACTTTAATTAAATTTCAATGAGGGAAAGAATTTCAGGACAATTTGTCTGCCCTTTTTTTTAAGGAGATAATTTATTTCAGAGAGAACTGTGGCCTGTATTTACAAACTCAAGTTTTTAATCTTGGTGGGGTGTCTTTTTGGTAGCAGAAAATAGCTATCAGGTTTACTGGAATTCTGGAATATCTGTATCTCTCTGAGCCTACAGGTTAAAAAAGCTCTGGATATTTCCAAGTGAAATCTTGGTTGTTAGGCTCTCAGGAAGGTGGTTTCTCAGTGCAGATCACACAGAATTTACCTATCTGGCATGACTGAAAGTGAGCAGAAGAGATACAGTGATGGGTTCTGTTGTTGTAGAAGTTAACTTCTGTCTTTTATTTTAACAAGTGGAAAGCATCCAGTTTTTAAAACAAAGTAATGAGGATTGTATAGCAAGGCTTTATCTCTGCAATGTTCAAAGGTGTTGAAAGCAGAGGCAGCTTGACATGTCATTTGTGTAGGCTGTTGCTGGTAGGTGGACTTCAAATTTCCCCCCTTGAGGTATTTTACTCACTGGTTTGTGTGCAAAATGTGAGCTTGTGATTTACATTCCAAATTTCGGTGTGACGCATCAGCAATACTGAGTGGTCTGTGCCTTGTCTAGACATCTGACAAACTACTGCAGTCATTCAGGGGGGAAAAAAAACAGGTTTTGGTAATTCAGCCCCCAGTTGCTGCTGCTGTAGCTGCTGGATGGAATTTGCTGTGGAGTTTGATTCTTACCAGTTACACATTGCTCTGGCCTGGAACTTTATATGTGAGCTGAGCTTCTGGATGAGGTCAAACGCAGGGCAGCCAGTCATTTTCTGCTGTCTAGCTCTGTCAAATTGTCTTACATGACTGTAATACTGCCTTGGTTGCATAAGTAAGAAAGCTGAAAAGATATAAATGTCAAGATAGCCAAGTTCCCACGGAAGACTGGTTTAGAACTGGAGCTTATATTAAAGCTCATGTTACTTACTGGCCTAATTAAAGTAGACAAGCCTTTATACCTGCCAAATGTATAAATAAAGTCTGTGCCTGCATTGTGCTGACACAGCCCCTCGATAACAGCAATATCTTGTCAGGTGTTTTACTTCTTAAGGGGGTTCATTTGGGTGGGAGATGATGTTTCCCTGGAGTGGCAAAGGGTTTTTATAGCAGCAAATTATGAAGTCGTGTGAAATTTGTTTTTGCAGCCTGAAAGAATGATTTATTTACAGTACTGTATGGTACAGAACTCGCATCTCATCATCAAGCATCACCTCTTCTGCTTCTCAGCTGAATAAATCACACGTTAGCAGGAGCTGACATTTTGCATTGTTTTCCTAAGAAAGACATTTTTGATTTGTACTGTTTGATAGACTCAGCTTAATGCACTTTCCTTTTGGGGATTATTCCCTCTAATCTTCTATTTACACTGAATTTTTATTGAAGTATTTAGAAGTAAATGTGCTTCTGAATGTACAATATGCTTGTAAATTTAATATTCACTTTCATATTTAGGAAGAGTCCCACTTCCTCCAGCACACGAACTAAAATCCAAGTGGGAAAACCTGTTGGGACCAGAATACGAAGTTATGGTATGTTGTATTTCAATAAATTACATCATGAATGTTATTTCTTTAAATTACAGATCTGTGAGCTTAGTATTACAGGCCGTTTATAGAACAGTTTAGTGTTTGGAACAGATCAGTTACATCAAATTTTCTGTCCTGTAACATCAAAGCTAAAATATATGTTATAATGAGTTGGGGGTTTTGTTGTTCTTTTATTTTGTTTATATAGATACTGTTCTTATACTACATAGGAACAGTGATTTAAGAAAATCGGCTGTCCTTTTAATTCTGCATCATAGCAGCCACTTAAAATATGTGGCATTTTTATTATTTCATTCACGATCTATTTGTTCTGTTGTACACTGGGAAAAGAAAGGCTCAGGATAGGGCTCCTGTTTTCACAAGAATCTTACAATTTTATCTGAAGAATGAAAGAATGATTTTCAAACATGCTGGGAAAATAGGAAGCAATTCTCAGTAGTGTAACTTTGTGGTGCCAGTGTCTATTAGGTATTTCTTCACTTTGTATTAAACAATTGCCAAGCAAAAGATTGTTTTGATGAATTATCATGAGGAGTTGATGGAAATTGTAATTCACTTCTGCTTTTCAGTGCTGGGTGAGCCAGTAATTAGAGATAAAAGACTTCAGCCAGTGTTCTTCCCAAAGCCTTAAAAAATTCTCACCACCACCAAGAAAATGCCCTGTTTGTCTTTGCAATGCTTGTCCAGTTGATTTAGAGACACTTATTTTTACTACTTGGAGTAGCCATCGTTCCAGTCACTCGCTGGAAGATTTAAAGTAGCTTTAAGAATTGCCTTGAGAAACTCACTTCTCTTCTTTTCCATTAGCACTCCTTTAAGATCTGAGGTTCGTGTAAGATTATGTACATGATGCAATAAATCTGTTTGGCTGCCCACTTCAGTTGCTTGGTATTCCCATCCTTACATTTCAAGAGGCTGGTATTACTTCCCTTAGCACCATCACACTTCCCACAGAGGACGAAAACCTGCTTAGCTGGTGAAACAGGCCATTTCTAATTCTCCTTCGGCTGCCGCCAGTGAAATGTCAGAAGTGAAAATGGTAACGATTGGGCCTTTTAAATAACAGAAGGAAACTCTTGTGGCACCCCATTTTGAAAGTCATCTTGTGATTCTTGTTGCCTGTACCTGCCTCTGCTCTGGCTTAGTTGTGTTCAATAACAATGTTCAGTTTGATTTCAACCTGTGACATACCAGTCCCTGTGTCACACCATTCTCACTCCTACACACAGCTCCCAGAAAGTCACCCTAAAGGTGCCTGCAGTATTGTCTCAGAGGACTTATTTTCAGAGGAAATAGATGTTTGAAGAGAGAGCTCGGTGTCCCTCATGGCTTATGTATTGCTGATCCTTTGTGGTAGCAATGGAAGGAGCTGAAATCCTGGGCAAGGATGTGTGACTGGGTAGTGTTTGTGGCCATGTACTGCATGAGCAGTCAAGCTGAGGAGGTATCAGTCATAGATTCATTTAATTACAACTAGATAGACATGAATTGGATTCTGTCTGTTGGGAAAAACAACCTAGGTACTGGAAAACAAGATGCTGGAAGCCCTATTTAAAATTAATCCAAAAGAAAAACCTGAGGCTTAGTATTGTTTCATAGATACTTTGTCAAACTAGTAATTTCCAAAGGAAAATAGCCTGATTTTTTGTAAGGTTATGTATTTTCCACGTTTAACAAGTGTAGCTTTCCTGCCAAACATACTCCACTTCAGTGTCCCAAACTCCAACCCTGGGCCATAGGTTGAAACTAGATAATCTTTAGTGTCCCTTCCAACCCAAAGCATTCTATGATTCTGTGTCATCTTAGTGCATTCAAAATTGGACTAAATAACCTTGTAAGATTACTGATAACTCAGTTGTGTTAAGGAAGAACATTACAAGAAAACTGGTAATGGACATAGTTACTCTATTAATATTAAAAAGAATGAAAATATACTGAAGGGATTTCCTGACACTGTTTTAAATACTCCACTTTACAGTCAGATTTGGTAATTAAACTCATGTATTTCAAGCCATGTTAGAAATATGCTGCAGAAGATGGTGGGTTAATCTAGATGTTAGATGGCTGCAATATAGCCTGAGGTAATAACTTAAACTATAGTACTTTCAAATTCTGGTTGGCAAGTCCGTTTGGGTATTTGTGTCAAACATAATGGCATTTTGTGCTTACACAGGATTACTGAACTTGACTAAAATTGGCATTTGAGCTTCGGGAATAGGATAATATTGGAGTCTGCTAATGGTGCATAATCACCACATTCCTACTTGTAAATGTTCTGCGCCTGAAAGATTTTTCTAACATTTGTTTAAAATTATTTTGCATCCATGTGACTTTGTTTAAGTGTAGTTTATTTTGCTCACAAGTTTTTTTTTGCCAGAATTCATGGTTCCGGTAAAGTCTTTATTATCCTGCTATTGAAAAATGTTCTGATGTCCAATTTTTAGGTTGTGAATGTGGATATGCCCATTACAGATGATTCAGAGCTCCAGAAGTACTCAAAGGTATGACTTACACGGTGGTTTCCTTCATGATATATGTTGGCAGAGTAATTCTAGAAGGACATGACACAGTTCCAGATCGTTTCAGGAATTTGGTGGGTTTATGACTCTATCTTTCCCAAAAAAAGGCTACCAATATTCTGCTTATCTTCTGGACTGATCCAATACCTTTTCTTAACATGGGCAAATGAACCTTTTAATACAACTCCACCACCCCCCAATACAGTTCTAATTGCCTTTGCCCCCCAAAGAGCAGACTGGTTTTTTTCATTTGTGCAAACAGTTTGTAAAAGTGAAATTATAGATGCTTGAGCAGTAGTGCCAGCAGTGTCACCATGAAGACTTAATCATCTTACTCTGTGTTTAGTTCAGTTTGGTGAGTTCCTGAATCCTAAATGTGTTTAAATTGTGGTAGACAAGATTTGTACTTTATATATATACTTCTCTTTTGGCAGCTATTACCCATCCACACTTGGAGATTAGGTGTTGAGCTTGACACGTTTGATGGACATCATTATATATCATCCATTACTTCAGATGGTTCACCTGCAGCACTTGGTCTTCTGCAACTGGAGGATGAACTTCTGGAGGTAAAAAACAAAACAGAACCCGCCCCAAAATAGAACCTGATGTATTTCCTATTTGCTTGACCTTCTTCAAAATGCTTGTATTAAATTCTGATTTGGCTCTGTGTGTGCAATAGGAGTATTCCAGAGTTAGTTGTGGAAGCAGGGTAGTGCTTTGGAATTCACATTCATTTTCTTTCCTGTTTCCTTCCTCCTTTCTGGACAAAATATCAGATTTTTGTGACCTCTTAGTGACTTCATGTGGGGTTTTTTTCTGAAATGTTTTAACACAAGTATGAAGAGTTATAAGGGCACAGATAATATTTGTGTTGAATTATTTGTAGTCCTGTAGCTCAGTCTTTTGCACAATCTGGTGTTAGCTTTTGTGGTGGATAATATTTCTGAATATTTTTCACTCCTAAAAAATTTACAACAGTCTTAGGAGTAGTGGTTCCAGTTACACATTATAGCTTGCTTGCTGAGTGTTGAAACACATTTGTGTGTATGAGCAAGTACATCAGTTTGTTTAAATATGTATAGAGAGGTATTTGGGCAGTTTTGAACTTATGAGAATCACACTAGACCTATTTGCTCAGGTAAAATAATTATTTGAAAATATTAAAATAATACCTATTTTGTGTGTGTATGTGTGTGTGTGTACATGTATCTATCAGTATCTCAGCCTGCAAGTGAAAAGATGCCCTATTGAATACCTGCTCTTTGTGGAATATTTGAACCTTTTTTAGTGGATGCAAAGAACATTTAATGGGAACAGAATTAGGCCTTCATAAAGATTGATTTGTTAGGTGTACAGCTATTTTGCTTTTACTTATTCACCTTTTAACATCAAAAATTCATACTGATATCACTAAGACCTAAAACATTTTCTTATGGTGTAATGGAGGAAATCTTGATTCCTGAAGGAAAGGATTAATGGAATGCTGGAAGTGTCATTTAAATTCCTTGGCCATTAAACAAAAAACTATATACAAAAAGCAATAATGCAGTGCTGTAGAGTAACTTAGGAAACTTTTATTGCATATATTTAACAGTTTTATGTATTACTGTTTATTTATGTATTACTTACATTTAAGTTCACAGGTATGTCCAGACCTAGTGAGCATAAATTATTTTCTACACTGTAACTGGAAAAAAAACCCCAACAAAATAAAAATGTGCTCTGAGGCCAAAGCTTTATGTGCCAGGTTTAGCCCAGAGTATGTTTTTGCAGCCAAGTTAGAAATCCCCTTAAGCAGGAGTGTGCAGTGGAAAAAGTGACAGCCCCATTCCCCAAACAATTAACCCTACCTGGGCCTGATAGGGTTGGGATTAAAATGTGATCAGCAAGGAATTTTTTTTAATATATAGTAGAGTTGAATGTTGATTATTTTTAATGATGTGTTTGAATTATGATAGGATGCATGATATTCCTCCCCTGACCTTAATTTTAGGTAATTTCACCGTGTTCTGTTTTAGGAGTAAAGGGCTTTGTGTCCTTCTGGTTTTGTTGTAAAATTTCACTCCTATTTGATGGCACAAATCACTGGAGCGGGGTGGTGAGTGAATGGGTGTAGGGCACCTTGCCTGCTTAGAAGCTGATTTCTGGCAGCTGCCAAAGAAGAAATGGGAGTCCCCATGTCTGCTGGGGAGTGCAGGGTAGCTCTTCCCCATCAATCACAGGATGCTGAGAAGTGCTGGTAACTTTCCACCACACACTGCCACTCTCAATGCATTAAAAAATCCTTATGCGTAGATCCTTCTTCTTAAATAATTAACTAATGGATTAGTCTGATAGCTCAGCACTTGCTGTAATTCTTACTGAAAAAACCTAGAGCAGTTCATCTTACCATGGCGGAGGCCAGTTACACCACTCTCAATTTTTCTCCTTGCCTGGGCTATAGTGTGAGAAGAACTTTGTGTTTCCCAGCAGTATAAACTAAATTTACACTGCAAAAAGCATAAAGTGGGGGAGGAAAAAATAGAAATGATCAGGAGGAAAATGTTGGCTGAAGTGAGCTTTCTGTGTAGCCTTGCATAAGATTGAATTCTAAACAGCAAGATCTGAGAAGTACGTGGAAAGACTCTACCTCTTTGTACAGAGGTGTGCACATGTATATTGCATGTTTTCATGCTCTGTTTTCTAGGATCAAATGTGAGTTCATCTGCAGTTTGGGTGTGGAGGGAAGTATTGAAGAGTATCTTCAGTTATCCCCATTTACTGTGCTTTGGTTCCTTTTGTGGAGCGACTTGGATGATGTGTGCTGGATTTCCACCTAAACCAGTGGTTGCACTCCAGCAACTTTGGACATTTGGTCATGAGAGCAGACTTGAGGCAACCTGAAAGAAATCCCTGAAACACAAGAGATATTGGGATTGAGTCCATAGCACTAATTAGATGAAATTCCTGCTCCTTTGGGGCTGCAGTGCTGGTCAAGATAGTTGATGTTTACATCACTGACACCTCCTGACATTCTGCTTTTCTTGTGTTTAGGGATACCCCTGTGGTCCAAATAGATGTACCCTCAGGATATTGCATGTTATTTTCCTGAGGAAGTAGAATCACAGAATGGTTTGGGTTGAAGGGGACCTTAAAAATCACCTAGTTAGACCCCCTGCCATGGGCAAGGACACCTTTCACTAGACCAGGTTGCTCCAAGCCCTGTCCAACTTGGACTTGAACACTTCCAGGGATGGGGCAGCCACAGCTTTTCTGGGCAAAAAAGTACAATTGCAGTATCCCATTTTTAAAGCAGCATTATCTGTCTATCTATCTATCTATCTGTCTGATCTGTCTATCTCTTTTTTTTCTGTTTCAAAGTCTGTGGTTTAAAACATCCATTAACAATGGCCTTATGGTTTTCTGTTGTCACTCAGGATCTCAAGCTTATCAGATGGTAAGCTTTGAACCTTGTCACAATTTTCTGATTAATTACTTACTGCAGTTGGTTTCTTTTTTTCTATATAAACATCCCTGGATGTTTTCTGTAGGATCTGTTTTAGTTTCAACCACTTTGTTACATTTTAAACTGGCAAAGTTAGAATCATAGAGTCATTGGGGTTGGAACGCCTCTGAGGTCATCGAGTCCAACTGTTAAACTAGTTGTGCTAGTTCTGACTTGAGTTTTTTGATTAGAGCTCAGAACCTGTGTTTTCTTAAAATATTGTGGAAAAGTTAAATTCTTTTCTTTTTAAATTCAAACACAATAAGCCTAATGCTAAAAAAAATTCCCCAACAAAGAAACAGGTGAGAAAGAAAGAAGAATTCCAGGAAAGATTTAGGCTAGGAAAAATAGAATCAGAGAGTATGCTGAGTTGGAAAGGACCCATCGTGATCATCGAGTCCAACTCCTGGCCCTGCACAGAAAAGAGGTTTGAGGAAGCTGAAGAGACATGATGCAGCAGTCAGAAGTTACAAGATCTTGCAGATGAAGTTTAAGTCTTATAATAATCTAGATATTCTTCATAAGTTAATAAAACTTTGCAAGCTGTGCCAGAATCCCCAGGTAAAATTAGACTTTCACGCTCAGGTGGGGAAAGAAATATGTGGGGGTGGGGAAACCCTAAATAAAAGAATCTGGTTGATATCCTTTAATTCTTTTGGTGTTTCTCTTCTGTATAGGTAAATGGAGTCCAGCTGTATGGAAAATCCCGGCGGGAGGCAGTCACTTTCCTCAAGGAAGTGCCCCCCCCATTTACACTGGTTTGCTGTCGGCGACTCTTTGATGATGGCAGTGAGTCACTTGTAGATGAACCCACCGTGGGAGTTTCCCTTCCAGAACAAAAGGTAGACTTCTTCTGTCATTCTGTTGTGAAAAAGGACAGTAACTTTTTTAAAAAGTGCATATATTCCTGACTTTATAAAGGTTGGTCATGAGAAACTTCATTGTTCTATAAAGACAAGGTAGGTAAATCATGGAGCTGCATTGCTGACTCTGTACATCCCATTCATCATTCCTACACTTAATAGGTGAGTGAGAGCTCTGAATTATACTAAATCACATCCTTGCCACCATTAGCTGATTGCTTTCGTGTTCTGAGTAGGTTTTTATAGAACTGGAAAAAAAATGAAACCTAATGTTTCTTTCCATTGTGGAAGCTTTAAAGTCTCAAACTAAAACTTGACACTTGTGGTTGTTCCTATTTGCAAAAGTATTTACGGCTTGGCTTCTCATCTTTTCTGGTAGTCTGGTCTTTCTATTAGCTGTCTGTGGTTAAATCTTTTATGCTATTTATTTTTCCTTTATGCATCTAATGGGACAGCTGAAGTTCATCAACATGTAACAGGTTAGTAATATTATAACAATTAATTAATTAGACTAATAAATGCATGTTTGTGTGCCAGGTTGGGCCCTGATGCTCAAAATGTGGTTCCAGGGGAGTACTCAAGGCAGCAAGCTGGAGCAAACTATATTCATAATGTTTAATGACGTTTTAATTCCATAAAAGGTCATGTTTTAGGGCATGTATGCTCCATTAATAATCAAAATATAGAAGGAATAATGTTTTTAAAGAACTGAAAGAGTAGTATTTTAAGTAGAGCTTTTAATTTTCAGGTGAAACCTGAGGAAGACTCTAACCCTGAGGAGGAAGAAGGAGAATTAGCATTATGGTCTCCTGATGTGAAGGTTATTGAACTGGAGAAAGACAAAAATGGTTTAGGATTCAGCATTTTAGACTATCAGGTATACTTTTCTGTATAACTAAATACTAAAAATTGCTTTGATCCTTTGTCTTGCGTGGTGCCTTAAAATGTTTTGTAATGTTGATTCCCAGGTAATCGACTTGGCACTTGGGCCTAGAAACTATAGGGAAAAGTAGTTTATTTTGAGGCCAACTCTATAGAGTGTTCTAAATCAGTCTGATTATTGGATGTGATTGAGTGCAAAATCTTTAATCAAACTCCACCTTATAACTCTGAGTTTAATTTCTAAATGTTGGAGGAGGTTGGTTCTTGTTGCATTTTGTTTTACTTGGAATGGCTTTTCAACTATGAGAGTGGCAAGTGCACGTTCTGGGATTTTGGAGCATCATTTCATATGTACCAAATGTAAAGGGTCTTTTGCTCTTTCTCCCCTCAATACTCCAAATCTCCTTTCATGTATAAATGGAATATAGACCCTTGCTGGTCTGGGAACTTCGGTACCGCTCAAGTCAGAAATATTCACTCAGGTTTTGAGTCAAGCCCTGAAAAAGTAGAGTTTGCAGAAGGAGCTTTACCAGGACTGTCCTTCACAGTCCAAAGGGAATATCAGGGCTGACACATGAATCAGTGTTGCAAACTCAAGTTTCTGCAGACACAAAATTGCTTTAATACATTTATTTTATTTATTAGTTGGGGTTGATTTTATCCTTAATTGTTAAACTCCTTAGAAATCAACAGACAGGTCTTTAATTGGGGGAAAATTCTACTAAAATTAATGAATCCTTCTTTCAAAAATGTTGGCTTCAATTAAATTTATAGAAACTCTCAAAATCTGTAGTCAGAATGAAATGTTCTTAGTGTTTCTAGTCAATGTGATATATTTTTTTAAACTTCTAGTCATCATATTTATAAGGAAATAAAATAGCTGGATCAGTCTTTATAATAATATACACATCACATCTGAGTGCTGCCTAAACATTGTAGTTTAATGAAATGTGTTCAACTGTTGTGCATAAATGTCAAGTGATATAAAATTCACTTTTTGATACAATAAGGCATGAATTGGGAATGAATTAGAAGAAAAAATATTTGAAGTATTATGCAAAACCATTAATTCTATATTTTACCAGTGTGATTTAAGATTACTGAAAATAGATCCTGTTAGTCATTTTCGCTGACACATGTTGTGTTGCAGTGCCAGCTTTACTGTAGAGTTGCTGGGAGTCTTTACAGAGCAGTAATACACAGATTTGCTTTTAAGTTCTCATATAATCAGAATTAATGAAGGCTTTAATAGCAGGCTTTTTATTTACTTATTTGCAGATGCAAATACATGGGCAATGTTGTGGTACTTTCAGCTAAATTTAAATACATTCTAATCAATTCTAAATGAGTGGTAAACCACTTAATCTCAGATCTTTATAATTTCAAGATATTTATGTATAAAGTATGCTCTTTTGTTTGGGATTTGCCTTTTAGATCTTTTACACTTTTCATCATCTGCAGATTAATTTTTATAGAGAGATATCTGTGACTGTGCGTGTGTTTTGATGTAAATAACATCCATCACATCCTTGAGTGCAAGGCAAAGAAAATAAATAATTGTCCGTGCTAGATTGGAGGCAAGGAATAAAAATTGTACATGGTTCCTGGGAGAGTGTTTGGAATTCTTAAAGCAGATTTGCTGAGAAGCACAGAATTACTGCAGTATTTAACAGTGGCTTGAATGACCCAGAGATCCTTCTTTAAAAAAAGAAAGGTGTTGTTTTAGGCACATACTCTTTGTTTTACTGGAGAAAATTCAAACCTTACAATGGGAAATGATACTTGCATATACTTACACTATATATCCACTGTTGATTTTGCTCCTTATGAGTAATATGATTTATAAATTTTTTTAGATTTTTTTAAAGAGAAGATGGGTCTTCTCATGGCCTGGCTTCATCATCAGTGAGACCAGCCTTTCTAGGCTCCCATTAGTGTTAACTGAGGGGAGGAAAATACTTTTTAAGAGGAGATTTTGAGCAGAAGGCCTGTTCCTGTTCCTGGTAGTTACACACACAAGGACTGACTCCCCATCCATTACAGAAATTTAAGGAAAATTTGATGTTACATACCCAACTGGGAGGTGAAGTGACTGTATCCTGCGTTTTTAACATCAAATTATTTCTGTAGCTGTTAGTTGAAATGGCACTTCAGATGTATTGGAAGGACTTCAGAAAGAGCAGTAGAAATAGTGGAGTGACATGAGAGTTAAGAAATGGTGATGCACTATTATTGCCCCCTTTGAAATGCCACTGTGGCAATTAGAGACCAGGCTGGTTCCAGTGCTCTGGAAGTTTCTTCATGTTTGGTACTTGTTTTGAAGCACAAGGCTTTTCACCTTTCCATCTTAGTTTTGATTATAGAATTAGATGTGGTGCTGAGAGCTCTTGTGGCATAGAATTTATACTATTTGTCATTTTGTTTCTCAAAACTGGCTGCATGCTCAGCATAAAGGATGTTGTGCCTCAGTTGTCCTAAATGCTGTGCTTCCCAAGTCACGCTCTGGGAAACAGAATTAATAAAAACTCTTTGTGAAGTAGAACAGGAATCTGAGTGTGTAGAAAACTGAATGCTGAGATCGAGAAAATTATTACTCTGGCATATTAATTTTTAATGGGCTGTCTTTCTAATAATGTTTCATCTATCAAGTAAATGATAAGCATATCCCAAGTGACTTGCAGGATATTCCCAGAAATGTACAAGCATAATTCCAATGCCTATATATTTTAATGAACTAATTACAAATTAATTATACCAATTATGCATAATCAATAGTATTTCTACTTTGTCCTCTGTTTTCTTTTGTCTGTCTTTAGGGATTTAAAGGCTTCAAACAGCCACCTTCTTTTTTTTGTTAATAAGGTTTGTGCACACATTTCTAAAACTTTGGGGTACCAGTGGAAAATAGAGTTATCCCCTTTGCTATATCAGGACTGCATTTATATAGGATATTCTTCATCTTCCTGTGGTCACTGTATAAAAACGAAACCTTTTTTCCCCCCTCTGAATGTCCTAATTTGGAATTATGTGGTTGGAAATCTAAGATCTTTGAAAGCTGCTTTCCTGGCAGCAAGGTCAATACTTGGTGAGAGGGAGGTGGATGAGGAGGCTGGTCCTCTGTATTCTTGAAACGATGTGTTTCACTGGGTTTCTTTTTCTTCCGATGTGAGGGATTATTTAAATAAGAAACACGGAAGAGGTCTTAAAATGAAATCTTCTGTGTATTTTTCTATTGTCATCACTGTCTTGGGATCTTGTCAAATCTCTTAGGCCAGGCATTGCTTTTTCTCAGTGATGCTTAGATGAGATGCCTGCAGAGGGCTTTTGGCCATAAAAAGGTGTGCTGTTCAGTCTTCTGGCCAACTTCTCCATGAAGTAATATACTCTACCTCCCTTAATTTCCTTGCAATTTCACTTGGAGAAGTTGCTCTCCCTTTCACCTCTTAACTAACTTTTATGTAGTGTTGCTGGCACAGTTAGCGGCAAGTTTTGATGGTGAATGAGGGACCCAGTGTTTGGGATCATCTGGGATGCAACAGGCTGTGGTCAGTGTATTTATTGTTTGTTGTCAATAGACCTGAAAGTATCCAGCTCAACAGTAGTTCTGTCTAGCCTAGAATTAGTCATAGAACCATGGAATCAGAGAATGGTGTGGGTTGGAAGGGACTTCAATGCTTATCCAGTTCCAACCCCCTACCATGGGCAGGGTCACCTTCCATCAGACTAGGTTGCTTCAAGCCCAGTCCAACATCCTAACCAGCAAGTCAAGACCTTATTGTTATTGAGACCAATCCCTTTTTCTTAGAAAGAAATTAAAAGATATGTCATCGGGTTAAAATAGAGGAGAAATGCTGTCAATGTAATGGTGATCCCAGGGCATTAGAGCAAGAGGAAAGAAAAATCCCACCAGATGAAGATTTCTAGAGAAAAAGAAATCACAGTGGTATAGAATGTACTTTGAGCCCTGAAACAGTGTTTACTAAAGAACATGCATTGCAGGCCAATAGGTTCTGTCAGTAATGGTTTACAAGAATATTGGAAAAACCACAGGTAGCTGAATTGCAGATTTCTTGAGGCAGTATTGACCAGAAGGTAACTTAAATGGTCTGATGAGCTTTTATCAAATTAAACAAAAAGCTGAATGGACTCTATGTGGAGCTTAATTTACTGTGCTTTGAAGTCAGAGTCTTATTAAAGCAGCTGTTTCACTGTGAAACTGGAGAGGGCGAGGGTTGTGGAACAAGGGGGTTTGACATTTTACACAGCTCTTAGGAATGACTGTGAGATGCTGTTTCTTCCTGTCTGTGCTGAAGGGTGAGTCCCCAGTGCCCAGGTGCTTTTGCACTGTACCCAGCTGCCCTATAGACCTGTTGGGCTGTAGGAGCTCATGGACTCATCTGTTCCAAGTGGTCCATGGAAGCAGGAAGAGGCATTTCAGCACTCAATGAGCTTCATGTTACCCAGACCGGAAGAAGCAGTATGAAGTGTGCTTGCTTTGGTCTGCCTGGGTCAGTGCTCCAGGGGTGTTACTCTAATCTAGCAACAGAAACTCCACAGCTGCCTTATCCCTGGGCTTCACTTTATTATCAGTAGCAGTTTTTTCTTACTGTTGAACGAAAGTCTTTTTTGCTGCACATTCAGCAGGTTATGTTTTGTCCTTCTCCCAGGGAGCATGGGAAAGAATTGTTTTCTCTTTTCTAACAAAATCACTGTGTAGTCATTCACGGCAGGAAGTGAAGCAATTTAAGTGTCTCCAAATATCTTTCCTCTTTTCTTTATGCCCCAAACAAACAGGCTCCAGATGTAGAGTTACAAAAAAGCAAACTGACTTATTTGTAGAAGGTGGTATTCAACTAGATTATATTTTTTTTTTTCCTTTCTTGGTCTGTTCAGCAGTGAGAGGCAGGCTGGAATGCTTTGACACGTTGCTGGCTAAACGTTTGCCCTCTTGTGATAATTTGAGCTTTGTCTGTCTTGTGATAAGTTTGTTATGAA